ATGTTATTTAAAAAGCGTCTGTTCCTATAGCCGGTGACAGGTCAAGAACGAAGTAGAAGCTCCTCCCACCCCTTTCTCCTTTAGGAGGGCGAACGCTGGAGAGGAGGTAGAGTCCTTTCCAGCGTTCGCTCTACTAAGGTTGAAAGGGGTGGGAGAACCTTCCACTTCGTTCTTGACCTGTCACCGACTTTTTTTTTCTTCTTTTTTTAGATAGGTTTTTTTTTCGCGCCTTAGCCAAATAGATATACTCCAAGAAGTCAAGTCAAATTTGGGGGTTTTATGTGCCAAACCAACAACGGGTATCTGGCACGCCCCAGCGGAGGACTGAGGATTAATTTGGACCACCAGGGGATTTTTTGACGTGCAACCGAAAGCTCGGTTACTCGGCGCCTCCTCCGCAATAAGCCTCCGTCAGATTGCGGGCACCTCGGCCGGGATTCGAAACCGCCACATGGGGATCCGTAGGCCAGCGCTCTCGCCTCGGAGCCACCGAGGCGGCTTACTCCAAGGAGTCATTGAAGTACCGGTAAACGCGAATACGCACTGGCCTAGAGTGAGAAGTAAACAACAATCTATGGGATCAATATATATTATCTGAGGAAAATTTCGGGAAGCAAAGCTTATGTGTATATATATCGTGGAAAATTAATTTTTGTAAATCACCTTCCACTTTGTTTCACCCTTTGCAATTTGCAAACATTAGGTTATTTCTAAATGTTCTGTGTTTATCATCTCTGTTTACCACATTTGTTCTCAGATAACGCCAAAGTTGGCTGCTTCAGATGGGACTTATGCCATTATAATGATTTGTTGGAAAGTATTTTCAGTGATGCAATCAAGTATTATTACACAATCATTTGCAAACAGCTTTCCAAGGCGGCCTTACCATAATGTTCTCTCATATTGAACGAACCTTTGCATGTATAATACACGATACGTGTTGCTTTAAAAGAAGTGTCGTAGTGGCTGTATACTAAGTGTCGTTATGGCTGTATATACTTCATACTGTAGAAATAAACTTGCTCAAAAACCAGTACACCCGTTTCATATATTCCGCCAACATGCGGCCATGTAGTACTGTACGCTTGTGCGCGTTTGTCTGTTTGCTTGGGCAGGGGAGGTTTACAAATTTCTATGGTGATTTCACGAGTACCTAAGTAAAGCATGTAACAAGACTGAAGCTGTCAGTACAATGGACGGCAGACACGTAACTAAGATGTTGAGCACTTTTAAATAACGTTGGTGAGGTTCAAACGTATCTAAAGTTAAAATATCCTTTGAGTGAATGGTCAAGCTTGGTTACAACTGAGGAATTTATTAAAAAAGTATTTGATTGCAGATTTAATTTCTAATTATAGGAGCTATAAAGCTAGAAGTAGAGGTATTTTATTCCATCATGAACTCCCCTTCCATGATTCGTCAAATATCTTGGTGCGTCATATTATGAGACAAACTGAAACAATATACCGAAGACAAAACCAATCCACGAAAATTCCGCCACCTTCGCAATTGAGATGTGAAGACCGAGGAAACAGCGGAGCTAGTGGTCTTCACAAGCTTTAACTTCGGATTTTCTTCCTCGGGAGAGAGCAGTTTCTCAGGTCTGCCAATCTTATCGGTAGATGGGACAGTTATGGAGGTGAGCGCACACCGTCTCTCTTAACTAGGAGAACTAGAAGAACCTGAAGAAATAGGGGAAAAGAACGAACGAATAAGGGGAAGTGAAAACTCTCAAAAACACCTCTTTCCACATGTACATTCCGACAGTTACCAGGACAATGACGGCCTCCGCGACATCGTCCTCTTTTCTTATCTTGGACCCCTGTCACCCTGACCGAAAACAAACCAAACAACTTTTCTTTCCGGAAACTTGTTGACACTCAGACAGCAAATTTCACAGTGTAAGAAATCGCCGAAGTTTGTGGTCCAAACCAAACCAAGGTTTGTTTGTTTTTTTTTTTTTTGTTTTTTTTTCAAATTGCGTTTTTGTGGTGTAGTATTGCGAGCGATCCTTTTATCAAACGGTTGTGGTCATCTTTTTTTCTTTCCTTCCACCGATGTCACATTCCACAACAGTATATAAATCTTATACAGTCGGAATGTACATTTGTGGAAATACGTTTTTTGGGGGTTTCTTCCTTGCCTTTATTCGTTCGTTTTTTTTTCCTATTTAACCAGGTTTTGGGAAATCAAATTTAAGCTGTGTTTGAGACTTCTGAGTGTGTGTCGTTATCTGCTGTCTGTTTATTTTTTTTTAATCATGTTTAATGCACACCAGCCCGTTTGCGCCCTTACATTTATTTCATAGAGCTACGCTGGTTCTTTCTCATATTTTAATATTTTATGCCTCCACGCCTGGTTATCGGGTACACTGTATTCAATTTGCCCCTGAATATTCATTTTTGTTTTCGCTCTAAAGCACACGAAATAAACAACGAGGAGTCAGCTTGGGGTGAGACAACGAAGGAGGATGAACGATGAGAACTGGAAAATCCATAGTGCCAGGACAAGCCGCGCACAAAAGGCGTAGCCCTACAACTGAATACCCTCAGCGATTGATTTTGAACGAGTTTTTTCCAGTATCTTCCTAACATGGTTAGACACAACAGTGAAAAGGCCTCTAGAATGAATCTGGTCTCTCAGCGAAGTTCTTATCTTTTTCGCGTCTTCTTTACCCTTTTTTTGTTTTGTTCCACGATGTTAGCGCCCATTGTTCGCGATAAGCAGGCGTTTTTCTTTTTTTGATCGCTCCAGCTCTTCTTGCACATGACGCAGCAAGCGGCCGCAGGAGCAGACGCAAGAGCGAGAGGAGGTCACCGGCGGACAGTAGCAGGACAATGAGAGGAGGGATGGGAAAGAAGGGCGAGATTTGATTGACGCGCGAAACTACATTTTGAAAATGCGTGAAGGTCGATACGCCACGTGTCGCTAAAATCTGGAACTAAACTGGCCGTGTCCCCGAAAGTTGGACTTATGATCTAACGAGAAGCATTGTGCTTGACAATACGCCAAATGAAATTGTCAGTAATTTTAAAAGTCTTGGAGTCATATTTTCGGAACATATGTTGTGGGACAGTACCATTAACCAATTACTTGCAAAATTATCTACCATCATAGGTCTGACATTCCGCAACGGCAAAACACTCCCAGTGAGTGTGAAGCTTTTATTTACAATTCTTTATTCTATTCACATCTCAGCTACTGCAACCTCGTCTGGGGTAACACCACATTCACAAACCTGCAAAAATTATTTTTACTGCAGAAAAAAATGGTTACAATAATATGCAACGTGCCTTATGATTTCCATACCGGCAGTTTGTTTAAGAAGTTTAGCTTATTAAAAATTCATAGCCTTTATGAATATAGATTGATTCTGAGTTTAAAATCAGAAAAAAGGAAACATTATAAATTGCTGTCAACTCTAGCGGCATTGACACCAAATCTACACGTTCACTTAACTAGACACATGGAGTATTGGAAGGTTGTTTACTGTTCTACAAACTATGGTAGGCAAATGTTGCGACATACCATACCAAAACTGTTAAATTTCCTTCTAGAAAAAGAAATTTGCATTGACTCTATCTCCTTCAAGGATTTGTGTTCTCTTTATATCGAGCAGTGATTTACCTCTCCCACTCAAATGATTCATTAATTTGTTTGTGCTATACAGAATGCACTCTTTTTGTGTTTTTTGCGTTTCTGTCTGCAACGACTGTGCTTGCCATCTCTTTATGTGACTAATGGCTGTTTTGTAATCTGGTGCATATACTATGCATATACATGTGTGTGTATATATGTATATATATATATATATATATATATATATATATATATATTTTCTTTTTTCCGCTGCAATGCCAATGTACGGGGCCGAGGGCTGGTCAAGCCTCCTTTGAGGCTTTTACCCTTTGCTCCACCATGCTTCAGGGAAAATGAACTATTATTATTATTATATCTTGCTGGTTATGTCGTTTGCAAGTAATTATGGAACAGAAATTCGCCAGGCATAAATCAAGACGCATAACTTTTGCATATTCCCGCAGGGTAAAGGCCGAAGGAAAATGGTAAATCTGATAATAACAATACACAATAGAGGACAATAAGAACGATACACGTAAGAATGCAAAGTAATTCTGACAAAGTTTCACAGACATGGATCAGGGGACGACAAAGAAGGATTGCTGGTGATCACAATATACTGTAAATGATATGGCGAACGAGCACCCAGTTTGATGCAGATTACTCTCTTTTTTTTTTTAATCCTCGCTTGCGCCTTTGGTGCGTTTCACGGTACCGTTTCTTTCATATCTTTTTTTTTTTTTCAGGGCGCATTTATTGACGTTAATATCAGTAGACCGCGGGAAGGGCGTCACTTTAAAGACTGCGGCGATCTGCAGGCGGGAAGCTGGAACTCCTCCTCAAGATAAATCTGGGCCGCGGGTCGCTTTTAAAGACCCCTGACCCAACACCTCCTAGACTAGGAAGGCCTCAGCGCTTACGAGTAGGGATACAAAGAGGGCGGAGACAGACCTATGCGTTTTTTAACGCTTTAAAACATTAGACACGAAAAGGGTACCTTCCTGAGAACGCCACGATCGGATGTTTTTGAACACGGCTTTTGTATAGGGGGGAGGTGCCTAAAATAACATTTAAAAAGTTAGCTAGTTAATCTGCGTTAATTAGCCAATTTGGCACATTGCATAAAAATAGCTTGACTTGGTCGATTGAACAATACTGGGTCTGTTTGAAACGCGTAGCGCACACCATGCTTTTTTAAAGTCTCGACGCAAAATAGCTGGAATACCCTGTGTGTCTATTTGTTTCGTTTGCTGTCAGAACTAAATGGAATCGGTGGTTTCCCCGACTCATTATTCTTCTATAGATGCGAGACACGCCACAGTGGAAGATTTTTTTAATCTCAAATTTGCATACATATGGCTGCTCCCTCACCACCCGACTTCAGTTGAGGATCACGAATGATAACTTTAGGAAATTGGCTCTTATTGCCCTCTTAGTGTGTTATTACAGGTTACCGGATCGTAAGCTCTAAACGCAGGCTTTCCACAAGTTAATATGAAGGCGAGAAGGCAATCGGGGGAAATCCGTTTAGCTACGATATCTTCAAACCATTCTTCAATTTCATATCGTAAGAATAACTTTAGCCTTCCTATTTGATAACCTGTCGGAGTACAGTTTTCGCGGATTCCAACCCAGTTCTTAATCTTCTTGATTAGTTCCTCTTCTTTTTTTGTAAAATCATCTTTCAGGCCATCCACTATACTTTTCAACTCGGTTTTTCTCAGCCACAAATCGCATCCTATGAAAAACAAAGAGACAACAATTAAATGTGAAGATCGTACAGACAGTTTTGGGCGACTGGGAGACTACTCATACGTGCTAAAGCAAGTAACTCCGAATGAAAACGAAAGTCAGTGGCAGCGCACAGGTGCTAGTAAAAATTTTAAATGTAAAATAAAAATTTCAGTTGCCAGTAAAGTCGTGTCCTGTGTACTACTCCCTCTGCTTGCCTCTGTTTTTGGCGCGTTGTTTTTGCTTTGCCTAATCACGTCATAACAGTAATCGTTACAAGGGTGAACAAGCTTTAGATAAGTAAGGTTTTTTTTGTGTGTTTGTAAACCCCAGAATCTTGTTGTTTCAGCACACGACATGAGAAAACATAAAATTTAAATTTAATGGTATCCATTTTCTCTTGAAGGTGAGAGGCAAGAATAGCATTGAATAATTTTATTTTATAATTAGAGCTCAGCTTACTATTCTGACACAGCGTTTCGTAATTATATTTGTACAATTTTTAAAACATTAATTTTTCGCGTTTTTTTAGAGATTTATTTGTATTGTGTCTAGACATAACCAAGGCCATATACTAGTTGTACACATTTCTACAGACACATACACATTCATGAAAAAAAAAACACAAAATAACAGAACACTAAAAATCCGAACACTAGTGTTAATAAATGTGGAAGGTTAGCACACTTTTTAAGTCCATCTCACTCCCGAAAATGTCAACCACCACACTCAGTGCATTATAGTTGCTCTGAATTCGTAAAATGGGGGAAATGAACACATGTCTTGTTTGTATAGAGTGTGCTGTGGAGACAACACTTCACGCGAGGGACATATATAAGCAACAGTGAAACAAGTCTAGGGCGACGTGTTTTGTTATGCACAGTGTTCTACAAAAACGCATAATCTCGCAAAACTCCGGCGCCAGTGTTTGCAAGTTTAGCCGAAGTAACATTCACTCGTAGCTAAAAGAGGGACCGGTGGTCGTAATCACGGTCGCACACAATACGTGCCAACTTTCTCTGCACCCCCCCCCACCCCACCTCTTCTCACTTTAGCTGAGTGATGGAAAGGAAGTGACCTCCTCTCCAGCGTTCACTATGCTGAAGGGAGAAGATTTGAGAGGAGTTTCCCCTGTAGGCAGTTCCAAACTAGAGTGCCGAACTAGTGTTACGAACGCACATGAAGTGGAAGTTGGTCCGTCTTCTGTTTGTACGTACACCAGGCAAACATCACGGCTTTCCTCCTTGCCTCATCCGATTTCCTGTGACTTGGGCGCCTATCCATCTGTTTCTGCCTCGCCCTCGTAACCTTTCCTTTCCTGTTTTCGGGGTAAGACTTAACAGCAGCGGAGGCCTTGCGCGATTGGCGGACAGTCAGCAGAGCGTGTGAGTGACCGTCTGAACCCACATGATGAGCATGCACTATGCCTCCGTCAAGGAAAGAAACGGACAGTAGCAAAGAACAAACTTTCCTCTCGGAAAAAAAAAAGAAAAAAAGAAAGAAAAGAAAACGGGCGGATGCAGATTGACACATTTCATATGGCGGAGAAGTGTCGTTTCGCGCGTCGTGGAAGTGTCCTGTTTGGACAGCCCTTTACACACGAAAACAAACCCAGAAGTCGCAGGCAAGAACTAACTGAATTTATGACATGATTAAGAAATTAACCAATATAAACTCGTCAGTCAGGTAAATATTCCCGTCGAAGTGGTTCATTGTATAGTTTATAAAAAATTTAAAAAATAGGCGCACGATTCTTTTGTTATTAAAAAATAAGTTATTTTTTTTTCATACTCTTTGGACGTAATTCCTGTAGAACCCAGCATAATGAGATAGCAGATTTGTCCTCCTGCAGCAGCTCGCAATCAACATGTGATTGAATCCGTTATAATATATTAATATCATGAGCGAACTGAAGCAACTTTGTATGTTTTACACAAAGAGAGTGATTAATGCTAAACATGTTAACAAGTAAGGGTCCGATAATAGAACCTCGAGGAGCGCCAGATGATATATTTGATTTCAAAGACCCGTAAAGATATGTCTGAAGCAACAAATCTACCGCCCAATGCGACTTTCCGATAGCTTGTGCACTAAAAAGTTATGGGGCACGAGGTCAGATTCATTACTCAAATCAAAATAAATGGAGTCGACCTGCCCATGGTATGCAAATATGGGGCCAACGTGTTTTAAATACTTTTAGTTTCAAAAGTTTTAGCCTCAAGAAAACCGTGTTGCGATTCATCTAATATTTATTCGAAATAACTAGATAGCTGCACTTCTACCACGCTCTCAAACAGTGTTGAGAATGCGGTCAGTATACATGATGCTTGATTTTAACTTGAACAGTCATATGTAAAGCAAAAAAAAAAACACGTGAAAGGTGCACTAATGCTGTCTGTGGGGATGAGTTCTAAAACTAAGGGGCTGATATTATAGTGGGCTAAACGTCACAAAAAGTCAGACTATCAACTAAAACTTTTTAGGTAGCTTTTTAGTTAGTTATAATTAAAGTATGTTTCAAATTAGAAACCTGCAGAACGTCATTCGAAAACTACTAAATTTTAAAATTTATATGGACGTATTGCACAATTAAAGTGCGGGGGTGCGCTAAAGTCAGCACTTGTGCGTCACCACCTGTGCAACAAGTGTAAGGCTGGCGATGCGAAACATGGGTGAATGTGATCCGCGAATCCCAGCAACAAACTGTAGTAGACATTGTTTCACCATGGCTTGTCGCAGAGCGAAAACTACGGCACCTTCGAACCAATCAGAGTTACGGCTGTGAAGATTGACAGCCCATTAAAAGCCGGCGTAAAGCCTTAATTCCCCGCAGGGAAATTGATCCCCTTAGCGTCATACTTCCGAAAACTGCGAGTGCTGCCATGTTGGGGCATGTTGCAAAGGTGGACTGGATACGGGAAAGAAGGCAGCGATAAAAAGTGGAAAGCGCGAAGTGCACGTCGGGCCTTTAACAAAGACACGGGGGCGAGAGCGAAACCCAAGCAGATGGAGAAGAGGGGAAGGAGGAACTGCCTCCTTAAGCCGAACCCTCTTGTGTCCCAGACGTCAGAGATGTCGCCCTGGGAAATTAGCCCGTCACTCATATTTTGTTCAGAAGCGGTTTTTTTCTCTCTCCTGCTCATGGCATTGACAGCACTGCGCGCAACTAGGACTAGCAACTGGTAAAGTCACGTGTCTAGCTTCGACGCGCTGATTGGTTCACTCGGACCGTAGCCTTCGCCGTTCGCCAAGATATGGTGAGACGGTGTATAGATGCAGATTTTTCGATCGCCGGGAGGCTACGATCGCCAATGGTGTTTCTTTATAAAATAAATCTCCATGTTATCGCCTACGCGGGATTTTCACATTTAGGTATTTATTGGCTGAGGCGATGCATAAAACATCTATTAAGCTTTTTCTGCACTAGTGCCTACTTTTCATTATCAATCAAATGTAGATAATTCGGAGAGGCCTTTTTTATTTGCAAGTCTCCAACTTAGCATCAAATTACGTTCAAAGTACGTCTCACGAAAATTCTTAATGTATTTAAAATCGCACACGATACTAACAGCGTAATGCATTGCAGTCCAGTGAAGTTAGCTTTTTCGTACAGAATTGGACAAATGTTGATTGGGCATCACACTGGGCACTGTATGGAACACTCCTTTTTAGTTGGAACAAAACTTTGGTGCCGAGAGTGCCCGTATTTTCATGGACGTACCAATGGATATAAGCCTTTGAGGCACCGACGATTATCAGCGAGTTTAAAGCACGACCTCAGTAAATTGAACATGCCACATAACGTATGTTTTATCTTACACATTTAGTACGTGTCTACGCGCAAATATAAATAAAAGCAACGCAAACTAAATCTGTCAAAATACGCCTCATATACAGCTTGTTTTATTCTAGATTCCTGCGATAGGCAACTTTGATTTATCTGTTTCTTCTTCCGCTATAATGCAAACTGTACTGCTTTCCTTATCACTTAAATTAGCGGAAATCAAGACAGTGTCACATTAACCGTGCTAAAGTTTCAAAGCCCTTACCTCCCTCGGCTGCGGGACTCCTGAGAATGTAACATTGCGGCTCGTTGTATACCACATACATGTCCATATACTGAGGATTTTCCGGAGTAGGGAAGAAGCTTTTTAGGAGATTTTCGGTTAAATCAGAATCTCGTGTACTCGGCTGAGGCTTCGCAGCAACACCTGCGTGGGAAAATTCTTTTTACAATGAAACTGGTAAATACCACAAAACCAAAACTGCTCCACGTTTGTCGAGCATGAAGCCTGAACTTACCCCTATCAGGAAAGGGAGTACCTTTGGAATAGCAGGTAGAGTTATCATACTGAGCGTACGTGTAGCTTCCTGGGGGAACTGGAGTAGCACTTGGTAGTGTTCCTGGTTTTGGGGTACAAAAACATTGTATCGCACTTTCAAAATAGTTTAGACGATTAGGCAGCTGAAATCTTCCCAGTCTGCACACTAATACTGACCTGGCAGTGAAGAAAATCCGCGAAGTAACTAACTACAACTGTGTGCGTTACTGTAACTAGTAATATTTCTTGAAACTAAATAAGCTAGAATAAAAGGCTCGTAACTATAATTTGGTTGCAACTTGTAACTTGGCATAGTTACAATTAATTTCCGAATTTTAACTTTTGAGCATCATCACCGAACCCTTTAAATCTGCAGAAGCACCTGTAGGTGAGAATGCTTGACATATTACTAGATTCATTTTATCTGACCTTCGAATTTAGGTAATTTTTAGTGACATATATAAAGCCTGGCTTAACTGAAAATGACAATAAGTTATTCTTGCGGAGCCTCCTGGTCAGCACTTTTGGAATTGAAGCAAACCGGTTGCCACTTTTAGAAATTTGACTCATGAGACGATTGTCTGAAACAGGCTAACATAAAACCGCAGCGTAGTAAACACAGCAAGTACGAAGATGTTGAAGAAAACCCGCTAAAGCTTCTTTGCTGCAGATGTTCTCCAGTGCAGAAAAAAATGACATAGCGTATTTAGATTCAAATAGAGCGAATCTTTACAAGTTTTAATGCAAGGGTGCCAGCGAGCTGCTTCGGAGCTGCTATGTTTAACCGTAGAGAGTTGGGAAAAAGAAAGACAGGATAACCCGAATCTCTAAACACAGCTGAAGTTTCTTTTACGAAAGACAACCTTAAATTCACAACCAAGAGAAAGAAAACCAAACAGACCAAAGGAAGACATGGAGGACAACGGTGACGGCACGGGTAACTAACCAGAATACACGTATCGAAAGAGGGTACACGTCGACCTCCAAACGAGATTCAGCAACAAAGAGATGATAGATTGCACCGTGCGACGGACAGAAACTGAGGACATAGTCAAAGTGAAAAAAACCAAGAATCACGAAGCAACAAAATGAACGAGGTCAACCAACTACCAATGGAACCGGAATGAAACGGCTGTAATTAAGAGACGCTTTCACGCAGTTGTCTAGAGAAACGAACACGTCACTAAATCAACAAATGTGCCCATGAAAAATAAACGAGTATTTCACTCAACGGTTGGAACAGTCCCTTTCCCTGTAGACTGCTTCAGTATTTTTTCATACGACGACACAACTGCTTCAGATGAGAGACGATTCGCTAACTGTGAACCTTCGGATTTGTTTTTCACCGTTCGTTTGTGTTCAATTGAGTTGTGATTAAGAGACTTAGCCTTCTGACCCACATAGCAAGAACCACACTTCACAGGAATATTGTACTTTACACCCAGATCGCAATCCACGGTAGGGCCCCTGATTTTTGTTACAACCTGCCTTCTGTGACGAAAAAGGTGCAAGCCGCTCGAGCAGAAAATCTGGTTTAAAAATAGCCGAGGCACAAAACTTCCGCGCTGCTGCCTTAGTTTAATGGAGACATGAAACTAATACAAGCAACCCTAATTTTCTCTGCTCGGACGTATTTCGGGAAGTCAGAATTTGTCAGCAAACGATGGATGACCGAAGACACGAACTCCCTCCTGTAGTCCGCGAAGAAAAATATTGTCACCAAATGACGAGGTGAAGAAACACGGGATAAGTAAGGAAACTGAAATGTTTAATGGGGCGAATTTGTGCCCAAAACAAAAAGGAAAGAGACGATAACAACAGAGCGTCGCGGGCGTTGAAGTCGGCGTAACATCAGCATCGAACGCATGGGGCGAGACTGACTGCGGTTGACCACGCAGAGCCCCTTTTGCACGCTCGTGGGCTTCGGGAACAATCGGCGGAGAAGGTTCGGCGCGTAGAACATTCTAAACTCGAAACATCAACGTGGCTCCCGAGTTTACCAGAGCACCACATTACTGTGTCAACAAAAATTTGTCCCCGCGGCCAGGCATCACACCCTGGCTTTTCGCGCGGAAGGCAAGCGCGATAACCGCTAGGCCACGAGCGCGCTGCCAACTTAGTCAGCTGCTCGCGCGGCGATATACGAAGCTGCTTTTTTAAAACTGGCGCCCAAACGATGATAACAAGGGAACTTGAGTGACTCCGTTAGCAAACTCTTGACAACTCCCCGCGTTACTGAATGACAACTTAATCTAAAGTGCAATGGCTCCCCCTCTGCTTCCCCACTCTCCAGGGTTACAAATGTCACCTCTGAACAGATATGTTTTTGAGAACTAAACGGCGCGTCGCCAGTGAGAGCACTTTTGGCCATACGTCACGGTATTGCTTACAAGTAACTGCAACGTGCAAAGGAGCCCCCAGTAAGATCAAGCAGAGCGCCAACCGAGGTTTTTTTAGGGGCCTAGGTTGTTCAGAGTCTCTTGGTTTCACATATGCTACCTGGAGCACGCTTCTGACTGGTGTGTTTAGCCTCCTTTCTCGCCCATAGATACGAAGTGGTCCCGAAGTAGAAACAGATGTCGTCACAGAAGCCGGAGTGTCATGCTGTCAGATGTCGCGATCCTGGCGGTTGATCGTAGGAATGCTGGCAAAAAGCACGAGCGAACGCGAGCGCCGCTATCGTCGCGGCGTCCCAACTTCTGGCTACCGAAGCTTCCATGGACTGCCACACTGGAGGGCGATCTGCAGTAGAACAGGCGATTGCCACATTTTCCACCGCTGCTGGGACATTTCCAGGTTCGCGGCCGGCGACAAAACGACACTTCTCTGAGGTCATCAGGCGGAAATCAAAGGAGCACTTTTTTGATGCGGTAAACACACCGTCCTGAGACGTGTTCCAGACGCCATTATTCCACTGGAGATCAAGCGAAACGGTGACTGCCGCTGTGCTGAGGCTTACGGGAGGCTCCATTTCACCTCCGAGCTAGCTTCCAACACAATTGCGCTTCGGGTGTGAAGAACTCCGATGTAATTCGGTTAACAATAGTGAATTTACGGGTGGTTGGTTGTTGACCGACATGATAAAAAAGTAGCAGAAAAAAGGCGAGACACAGAAGAAGCGAAACACAAGACGATGTTGCGTTTGGGAGGTGACGATCTCAGTAGCGGAACCAGGAGTGGGGGTTGTGGCTCGCTGATCGCATAACCCCGAAGAAACAGACCTGGAATGGGATTTCTGAAGTATAACTCTTATGTACAGAATCAATATACAGAGGGCATGGTCGACTGGTTAATCTGTGTCTTCGAGCTTCCTGAGGCCATGTGATATAGCCCTCCGAAAGCGGGAAGGCCCGCTGAGTGAAAGGAGCCTTCCCAGGAGTTCGAGTGTTCACGTGTTGTTCGAATTGCGGGGCGGCTGATGCAATTGCGCTGTGTTCTTTCAGCGAGGAACAGATGAAACATGCCGTAGCCGCTCTTGCCATGCTCCGGTGTCTGGTCCAAGGTGTCGACGCTTTTGCCGTTCGAACTAAAACACAACACCGACAGACCCACACATACAGACACACATACCTAAACACGCACACCGGCGTTTTTTCTTGCAAGGGCTGGCGTTCCCAGATCATTTCGTGGCTTACGGAAGACTTTCTCTTTGTGTTTAGAGTCCTCAGCGAGGGCCACCATTGACCCGGTGTCTCAAGCGGTGGTCTCGGGGGTTTGAGCGTGATTCTGCCTAGCGACGTTGACCCGCGCTAAGCCGAACGCGATAAGAAGCTTTGCTACCGTTGACGACAGGTGAAGGCCTACTCCAAGACGGAGCCAGGAAGATAGTCGCAGCAACGATCGAGCGCTAACTTGCAACTAAAATGTTTATTGAAAAAATGCACCAAGCAAACGTATCGCACGCACGTCACAGCTGTCTTGAAGAGTAAACGGTACCCAGCGTTCATACAAAAAACCGACGAAGTTATTTTAATAATTAAAGGTGGCAATAGAAATGCTGTATTTATTAATGCACGTGCACTACAAAATAAACATCATCATAACGTAAGGGGAAGGGCGCATAAAGTTCATGAAAAACAAACCGCTATATGAAAACATATTTGGTTACCCTATGCTACCAAAAGCCACAAAGGGCTTAAACCCGACCGATAAAATCGTACTTTTTTATCAAATGAAAATATGCGATTTAATACACGAGCCTTGTTCACAATGGTGTATCAGAGCCGCTTCTCGCATCTCCTTTTCCAACCTTCCTTTACCACACCCCGCTACATGCACGCCGTTGAAAAGAGGTGAACATCCGTAATCTTTGCATGAATTGGCAGCTGTGAACCAAAACTATTGATAAGTGAGGCGGCGTGTTCTCTAAATATGTCATTAAGACAGCATTCGGTTTGAGCTATATACAGCCTACCACAACTGAAATGCATTTTATGAACTACTTCAGACGCAAACGGCAATGTTACTGGTTGAGACCCAAAACGGGGCTTAGGATTGGTCCTGCCCGGTGACGTGGTATTGTGTTATATTCAGCAGTGCCCTTTTGACAGAACCTTACACTTCAAATCAGGCTGCTACTCTGCTGCTCTCCTTTAGTGTTATTTGCCTCTTAGTTCTCGGCAGTTTATCTGTCGAGTATTGCGTGGTACCAGAGATAGTGTGCTCACAAACGACACAAGCTGGTATTTAATGCCAAAGAGATAATGAAGTCTCAAAGAGGAAGGTGGTACCTATGCTCCAGGTGACTTTTTCAGGCTTGGCACTGATAGAAAATAGAAAAACCTAAGGTTGAAACATCAAATGCATTTCTTCTCAGGTTACCTGAGCTGAAATACCTTTATAAACAGTTAAATTGCTCATCACAAAAAATTACAAAAGAAAATTATGCGTTTATGATGAAAACGTCAGTCTAAGAAAGAAAGAAAATATTTGTGAAATGTTTTTGTTATCTTCGGGTGTAATTTATTTTCTTTAAAATTGCCTTTTCTAGATCTAGCTTAATTCTTGCCCTATGGGCATTCGACTTCACATTAAAACACAACATTTCTGGAGTGCAATTATAATTTTTCTTTAAAACATTTCCTAATGAAGTCACTTTTTTATAAATTAGGAAACGCAGGATACTGTAGAATCGGTCTATAAGGCTCAAGTTTTTGATGTAAATATATTTAATAGGGGGCTTAAATCGCCCTAGAAATTGAAATCATCTTGGACAAAAAGTTAAAAAATTGACCCTCCCAAACCGGATCCTCCCTCCCCTCCGAGTGTTACGTACCTTTCAAGCTTGCCCGTATAACGTTTTCAAGCGGGTAGTCAGTTTGACTTAGAGCTCTCACTTGTACTGTGGTATTCTCGCTGAAATATATATATAAAAAAATTATTACGAACAAATTAAATTTTAAAATGTATATATTGTTGGCGCCTCGTTTTATTGCACGAAATTTGGTCGTAGCAGGACGAGGACACCTTGGTTTTCTTCCTGCTCTAACGCCCCTCTTTCTTCCTCAGGCAGTGTTTCTTTGCAATACGAGCTGGAGGACGAGGCCTGTACCTTTCCCCTCATACGCCATCACTAGTGGCCCCACGCAACGCCGCTTGCCTCGAGTGAGCATCACCGCCTGCGCCTCTCGCAGTATCTCACAACCAGCGTAACCCTAGCACGCGACGACGGCCTAAGATGGATCCATCTGGCGCCCTGCGGTGACTCGCGTCGAGCGTCAGCGTATTTGCCGCCTAAGGCGGCTCGGGGATCCACAATGACGTAGTACGCCGGTGTTGTCTCCTTGCTCTACGTGCGCAAGCGCGTATATGTAAGCACGCGCTTACATATACTCAGAGCATTGCCGCTTCTCTTAGGCTATCTCCTTCTCGTGCTGTCCACTCCCTCCTCTTGAGAGGCGTTGTGAAGACTGCGGCGCACTCAGTGGGCGCCTCCTGGCGCAACCCGCGCATGTGTGCGATACGCAGAGGAGGACAGCACGTGGTACATCGCTCTCCTGCTCATGTTCACGTCTTTCCATTTGTTCGCCGTGATTCAGTGATGGGTGAATTAAAAAAAATAAAGCCGTTTACAACTCCCTGTAACACCGAATTGGAGCGCAGCTCTTGAGGAGGAGGCTGGGAGGGTACTGAGGAGAGGGCATACCCTTTCTCCCTCCTTCTCACATCGTCACCCTCCGTCACGTGGCCTCACGTGGCCCCCGTGAGGTCACGTGACCCCCTGAGGTTAGGTGACCCCCCCTGAGGTCACGTGACTTCACGGTTACACCGACGCCGACGGCTACGGGGACGACGGCGCCGCTCAAGCCGGAAACGGGCGCATAAGAGCTGCGCTCTAAAATACCTCGCTGTAGACGTTTGCAAGTACGGCACTGGGCGCCGCCATCTTGCTGCTGGTATGGGCAGATCGACTGATTGTCAAGCACTGCTGAGGCGTTTCCACGGTTTCCAGACTGGTTCGCAAACAAGATGGCTGGGTCGATGCCAACCGCTGTTCTCTTCCTATCGGACGGTAGCTTGCGCCACCTAGCCGAGAAGTTAAGAACCAAAAGCATGATTTCTTTACTTCGCCAATTTGCTTTCCTTCTACAATTTCGTAACTCTTACCAGGCGATGTTGGATATCAACAAGGCGTTTTTCATCCACCGTGGCCAGACTAGCTTTCGAAGCGTGGCCGCTTGCAAACGTCTATATCACGCGCTAATTGTTCGACCGAATAAATTGAGTTTTTCTGACTGCCTGAGAGTAATATCATGCTTTTAATTGGTTCGTAATGTTTTCTTCTTTTTGCCATTTGTACCTTACTAATTGTGATTCTGTTCAACTGTTTGACACCGACACATTGCACCAAACAGTCTTTGTGTCTGCTAAAACAATTTGCGCGCAAGACCAGCCGCTTTAGCGATCATAAAGAAAAAGCCTTAAAAATTGCAAAAGTTTTTGCAGTTTCAAATACGATTCGTTGCCTGCCAGCGCAAACCGCTTCCCCAACTATACTCTACGAGGGTGCCGCCGCCTGTCGGCGCCTTCAGCGAGGCTCTTTTTGAGGACATTGCGGACGACGGACCAGCCACCGAGGAGCGAGCCAAAGACAGTGATGGTCGTCGCCTGTGAGCGCGCAGGCGGACTTTCAAGAGGGTCGCATCGCAGTCATCGGCAGCCGTGTCACACCCGTTTAAACAGCTTCACAGTGCGGTCCACACCGTCCCTCTATCAGTCGCCGGCCTGCCTTCACCACACTGGGGCGTCCGAAAGCTCAAGCCGGTGCCGACCTACGTTACGTCAAAATAAAAATAAAGCGTAACCGTTGCCGTTATTTAAAAGAATTGACGCACGTTAGTTTAGCGTAACTTTTTTAATTATGAATTACCGCGTCTTACTCTTTTGACATTACAAGTATGCATATGCATATGCGTACGCAAAAAAAAAATTAAGTCAATCCAGAAATTCAATTTGATGACCACATCTTTTTTTACTTTTGCACCTAACTACTAACAAAAAGAAACGAAAAAAAAATCGCAAAACAAAATATTTAGACGCTTTGTCGCTTAGAGACACGAAAATACTAGAGTATAATTTTGCTCAAGTCTTGGGAAGATGTTTAACGAGTAAGGTAACAGTTACCTATTAGTCGGAATAAGTAACGTAAGTACGTTACGGGTTACTGTTTTGAATCAGTAGCGAGCACGTTACAACGTTACCGATAAGAGTAACGCATTACCGGTAACACCATTACAAATAACGAGTTACCGGCAACACTGCTTATGAGCAACTTTCGAACTGCCGTCAAGTGCGCTCTACAAGGTGTATCCTACTCTGACGTTTACCCAACACTTGTTGCAGTCCACGACTCTTTGAATGCATAAGCACTGCGCCATGTTTTAATAAAAAAAATATATAAGGAAACGAGGGTTAGTTTGCGTTTGGGTAATTGCGGCTATTTCAGCCGCCATCGGTGATAAAAAAAAGGTTTTTGGGTGCGCTGTATGCGAGCTGCTAAAAGCTTAAGATAACTCGGCGAATTTAGTGCTGCGAGGAACAAGGTACATGCCCTCGTGCGCTTCGCTAAACGGCTTCATTTAAAAAAAAAAGAAAAACGAAACTTATCAGAAAGTTGTTTTATTACTTCACCAACTTTATCATTTGCCAAAGGTCTCACCGGCCACCACAGTTAGCGCTCAATTGATGACGTCATATACAAGAATTTTGCCGACAATTGTAAGAAAACTGGAAAAGATTACTATTTTTAGTTTTTTTTTTTTTTGCTACCTTTTCAAACAAATTACACAGTGGCAATATTCAGGAAGTAACCTTGAAAGGTGTAAGTCTCCCTTCTGCTATCTTTATGATCGGGATGAAGGTTTCCTGCCGGCTCTGTTTAGTATGAAGTGGACTATATCACATGAAGCCGATAGAATTCCCGTTGCTTTTCTCGAAAGAAAATTGGCGTCTTTAAACCATGTTTTTTTTTTCTGCTTAATGGCTTTATAAGAGCACGTGAGTATACGAAAGAGTTGAAAGTGACATATCTTTAAGGGCGATATACAAACTTTGATGGAGAATTACCGCCCCATATCAATATTGCCTGTATTGGGGCACCTTTTAGGAAAGCAACCTATTTTTAGTGATGACTAGATTTTTGTACAACCACCCCATGATATCCAAATCACAATAGGCTTCTGTACCAGCGAACGGTACGCTGCTGTTCTTAGTTGACGATGAAGATTATTGTTTTTGGGCGTATCCAAAGCCTTTGATACCGTTAATCACTCTATTCCGCTGCGTAAATAATAAGTTTGAGTTTTGGACAACCGTTTATTCACTATTGTCAGATATGTTATCTGGACTATCACCGCGTGTGCAAGTGCGTCGGGAAGTGAATAACCTTTGTTTTCTGCTTGCGGAGGTTCCACAGTGTTCTGCGCTGTCGCTCCTTTTATTTATACTTTACGAGCTATTGGGACCAAAATAAGCCGTTTTTGTTTGAGATCTGTTCAGGAATGATAGAACACGTACAGACACACGACGAACATCTGGATGCTATCTTTTTAACGCTGTCCGGATGGTCCGATCAGTTCGTAAAGTCGGCTGTGTCTGGACATAAGGTAAAACGAAGTATAACATTTATGTCGACGACCTTGTTTCTCTCATTTCTGGATGTATGTGTTATCAAAACACTGACGACACTTTGCTGGTTTTTTGGCATATAAATTTTGACAGCGTCCTTAATAATTTAGAAACTAATGCCAATAAGGTTAAGCATAGGCCTAGGCATGTAATCTTTTGAAGGTGAATTCGGCGAGAGCTAAGTTAACGCACTTCCGTAATCCTCTAAAATTCGGTTTCATAGACATGCCCTTTTTCTTGCTCGGTGTAGAATATGTCCGGTATTTGTGATCGTATTCATTAGGTCGGTGGCACAAAGTACGCAGGGCTTATGTTTCAACACGTATACTGGAATGAGTACATGGCCCTCAACTGTGGTGCCTTGCGAAATGTGTCCTTTCTCTTATATAATATTATAATCTTTGTTTTCTTTGGCGTCCCAAAAATTCTAGATCGTGCCTTGGCATACAGTGTAGTCAGGTACGGGGTGACTGTGTTAGCTCACGGTGCAGGGCTGCGGCATGCCGAAGTGGACAATATTCGCAATTTCATTTTGAAAAGTGTGGCATATTATTCGGTTTTCTTTAACAGCACGAATATTCTCAGCGATATCGAAATGTCAAATTTTTATTCCTTATTCCGGAAAGCAGTCGTACTCCAGTATTTTTGAACGTAGAACTATCTTTTCGTATGAACCGTCTCGCCCTTTAAGACAGGCCGCCCATTTCAAGCGTCCTCGCCGTTTCACGTGGTATGGGATGGGAACTCGTGCTTATTATGTTGCGGATATTTTCAATCAGCTCCCAGCGTCTGCCTTCCTTTTAGATTCCGGTAAAAAACTAAAAAAAATGGCTCTGCTGCTTCATGTCGGACACAGTGTTCGTCTGATTTCCGGTTTTGAATCAGACTTGAATTCAATGTTTTTCTTGGTGTTGAATTTGTTTTTGAATCAGCCTTGGAATCAGTGTTTCTATTGATCTTTAGTGAACTTGTGGAATTTGATTTCTATTGTTTTATTGCTGGCTTATTTTTTGGTGACTTCCCGGGTGGGATCCCACAGGCCAATATAAAACTTGCCGGAGCCGTCAGCCCTCCTTAACCACGACGTTTGCAATAAATAGTATTAAAAAGATATTTTCATAATTATAATATAGTTAAAACTTTATGTCTGCAATAATACTAATTATAGAAATTAGAATTATATTTATAAATGACAAATACTCTTTGAGATCTGGTGTCACCTCCGGGGCCCCTAAGAGGTCGGTGCTGCGGCCTCTATTTTTTTTTTTTTTCAATAACGTGTCAAAATTTTATCTCTAATTCTTTAGTTTTGCCACATGCATATGATATTAAGATATTTCGTGAAATTGGCAGTGCCAGTGATTGCAGGGTGCTTCAGAAGGATGCCTGTTTATTCTATAATTGGTGTATGACAAATAACCTCATCTTTAATAAGGCAAAAACTAAAGTTATGTGCTACACGAGAAGAGCGCACTGCAGATGTTTTCCCTACAGTATTCACTCAGAGGCTCTAAGTCGTGTTAGCGAAGTTGGAGACCCTGGTGTGATATTTGTTTCTCCTCTCCGCTTTGACGCTTCGACGGCTCTCAGAGCAAGCATGTGAAACTCTGAATTATGTTTACCTTATTTAATCATTTACACTTTACATAATTGACACCACTGCCTGTATAAACACTCGATTACCTGTCTTTATATATCTTAAATTGTTCTTTCACTCATATGTTGTGTTTCTTCTGCGGAAGTAAAGGGGAGGTGGGGGCTTCGTTAAGTAGCGACATGCTGCTTTTTTCCCTTTCTTCCCCTCTCAGACGGAAAGGAAATAAAATTGATTGATTGATATAGATCACATGAAAATGTCCGCCATGCATACTCTGGGTGTTGCCGATAGGATGTCTATAGAGTATTTTCGAACCCGAGAACGTTCTTTGTTCTCTACTGCCCGTTGGCTTGATCCCATCTGGAATACACCTGGGTGGTCTGGAACAGTGTCTGTCCCAGCAGTAATTACTTCAGGCTGGAGCGAGTGCAAAATAAATTCCTGTCAATCTATAGACGTAGGTATTGTACTTTCGCGATAACTCATGTATGTTACGCAATGATTGTTTAATAAGAGCCCTAGCCGAAGGAAAGATCCATCAATGTAACCCTGTTTGGCAGTCAATGTTTTCCAGTGGACCGCTGACTGTGCCTGACTGTACGTCAAGAATGTCTGATTGGTCAACAAGTTACTCTGACCGACAGTCAAACTCCAGTCAGACTCCACTTGTCGGCTTTCTGATGGTTTCTTGGTGGCAGTCGGCCGCCGCGAAATGCCATCAAGATGTCTTGGTGGCGATTCTGATTGTACATCTATTGTCTCTGACTGTACGTCAAAAAGCTTTGACGTGCAGACAGACGTACGGTCAAAGGACGTAAAGTTCGTTCGGATACCACTATTTCATCGAATCTATGAATACGAAAAATAATTTATGCACAAGAAAACGATTTCGAGACATGAGCCCATAAAAGCGCTGATGTTAGAGATATCACACGCAGCCGACCGACAAACTTGATCAGAAGCCCGCCGAAACGCATCCGAACACGCCACTTCGCTTCGCCCATAGAGGCTACGCCGCTTCGCCGACCTTTCATGAACGATCGCTCTCGACTCGTTTTGTTTTCCCGCTTGCCCCAACCTGTCGATCCTGCCCGGGCTGTACAATGTCTTATGTTTCAGTAGAATTTGTACTCGACAAGACCCAGCCTGTTGTGAGTTCCGACGATGTAAGGGACTTTAGCAGTGTAGTTGAAGACGACAAAGTGTACCAGGTCTGCTGGGCCGGTGACGCGCGAACAAAGGGATCGTTCTACGACGCGAAAGTACTCTACATGGCAGGTGAGTAGAACTGAAGTATGGCGAGTGATGTACGAGTGCTTTTCATAACATGCTGAAGGTTTAACTGCATTTGCAGCCGAAGCCTCTCGTATAAAACAAATGGTCAAATCGAGTTTCCAAAGTGATGGCATAGCATAGGAGTTAAGGTGTCCGATTTGTACGCAAGGTTCGATACGCGGTAGTCCTGCTTTTTTTTCTTTTTTTTTTCTCAAACATTTTGTTTTATCGAGGCATTTGGCGATATTTATGAGTGCGTATAGCTTTACTCTTATATAAATGCTGCCCTTGTTGATGAAATTCCTTTGGCAGTGGCAGTCAGACGTCATCTGATGGACCATCAAATGACGTCTGATGGTCCATCACGTTCCACCAAGGCTGCTGACTGGCAGTCAGTGTCAAAAAATTACGTATCTTGATGGAATTTTCAATGGGTACCTTTGTCTAGCTTACACCAACGCCGTGAAAAAGCTGATCTCTCATTTTGTGTACATAATCCAGTGTTTCGTGTGGGAAAGACCTACTATGGTCTTGCCAGTCACCTGGATATCTTTTCTGGAAGTAAAGACATTTCTTTTTAATACCTGTGTCTGCTGCATGACTCCAAATAATACTTTCGTGGAAGTTTGTCGTTGATGCTGGTCCTTAATTCCGCTGAATATGAAGGCGTCGCTGTATTTTTAGGCACATATCTCTTCACTGATTGTATTGCCGATGTGGAGCTTTACCTCATTATAAAAGTGTTTAAGTTTCGTCCTAATTTTTTATTTGGTTATGCATTTACCACTTCATGTGTGTTAGGTATAGAAAGTGTTTGGGTGTGCTAGTACTAAAACCGGAGGGTCGTTTCTAGGCACCAAAAAAAGACGATCCTTGATTCTTGATTATTTTTAATATTACTATTATTTTTATTATTATTATTATTGATATTATTAATAATATTAGCAAAGTACTTACAATATTTGTTTGTTTAGATTGTAAAATTTGATTCTGTAATTGGCAGTTTTGTTAATTTTGTCTTCGATATTTGCTGTTGCGTGAACACATCTCTCAGAAGGAAGAACTTGGGTGCGAAACATCAGGAAGTAGGTATTTTTCGACGTTTCTTCCAGGACCTGCAAACATCGAAACGAAACATGTCATTATCTATCCCATTATTACGACAAGAAGGATGGTAGGGTCAAATAAAAAGGGCACTCACTCAGATTTAAGCATTCGTACACTGTCGACGGTAAAAATCAGGCAATGCTCCACTTTATATTACAGCCAAGTAACGCTCATGCACGAAGCAAGGAGCAAATTGAAGACCTGTATCTCTTACATTGGTTTCAACATGATTACAACGTAAATGTGGACGGGTCGATGAATTACTGACAAGCGCGTATTTGTGTGGCCGTACAACATAAATATGTTATATAAAAAAAATTCTGCAAGGACGTAACGGATCTTAAACATCTCTAGGATGCACAAAAAAGGTACGATTTCTCCGCAATACTAAAATGTATAACCCAAAATTTAATTTGCGTTCAGCCATCTCACGTTTCTAGGCAATGACAGCTAATGAGTGTCTAGTACTTCTTTGATTATGCTTACTCCTAGTCTGGACTTTTGTTGTTTGTTTCTTCTTTTTGGGTAAGAAATTAGTATGGTAGTTCAGAAAATGCTCGGGCGATAATGGAAGTTTTTTTTTTATTTCGTGCTCTTTTATTTGGCGTTTATTACGGGTGTCTATGTCAATTTTATGGGCGATCTTGTGTACAAGAAATGGTTATCGGTCTTGCATTATCGCACTTGCAGCAAATAATCTTGTCTCTGGGGCAACATGGAACGGTCTGCCGAACGCAGGAAACTACTCGCACGTGTCGCTCCTGCTCTGGTCCGCACATCCGCGATGCAAAAAGACCACTCGCTTTTTCTTTTTCCTGGGTCTAACTTTATCTTATTTGCTTCAGCCTATATTGACTTAATGCATGGGGCCGTCTTTGCTTTGGACGGAGTGGTTGGACCGGACCGGACTGGCTCTTGAGGCCGATTACCACAGGCTTATTCTACAGTGGGCAAACTGCATATGATAAACTGTGTCTGTGGCGGCCATCCGCTCGTGCGTGTTACTACCGAAATCGCAAATCTCCCTTTTTTTTGTAGTTTTTAGTATGCTTACTAGGTGGAGCAAGCAGTAGCCCAGTTTCATTTCAGTTTGTTTTTAGAGCGCAGCTCGTAGGGGTCCGTTTCCAGCCTGAGCGGCGTCGGCGTCGCAGTCGGCGTAAGCGGGGGGGGGGGGGGTCACGTGACCCCCCCCCCCCCCCCGAGGACACGTGGCCCCCCTGAGGTCACGTGACCCCCCGAGGTCACGTGACCCCCCCCCGGAGTCACGTGATCCCCCGAGGTCACGTAACCCCCCCCCCCCAAGGTCACGTGACCCCCCGGGGTCACGTGACTACCCGGAGGTGACGTGACCCCCCTCAGTACCCTTCCCTACTCCTCCTCAAGAGCTGCGCTCCAATTCGGCGTTACAGGGATTTGTAAACGGCTTTCATTTTGAGTTGGTAAGAAGCAAGGCCTTCCCGCAGTAAGGAAGTTTCTCCAGGGCGTCAAGTCCAAGCCTAATACCCCATTCACACGGCCAGCATAAAGATACCTTTAACATAGGTCCCTTTGCAATCGGCGAATCAGCCCGAGCTTTTAGAGCGCAGCTCTGAGGGGCCCGTTTTCAGCCTGAGCGGCGTCGGTGTAACTGGGGGGGTCACGTGACCCCCGAGGTCACGCGACCCCCCCCCCCCGAGGTCACGTGACCCCCCCCCCGAGGTCACGTGACGCCCCCCCCCCCCGCGAGGTCACGTGACCCCCCCCCCCCCCCCCCGGAGGTCGCGTGACCCCCCTCCCCCGAGATCACGTGACTTCCCCGGGGTCACGTGACTACCCGCAGGTGACGTGACCCCCCTCAGCACCCTTCCCTACTCCTCAAGAGCTGCGCTCCAATTCGGCATTACAGGGATTTGTAAACGGCTTTCCTTTTTTTATACGTCCACTTACTGTGTAAAAAAAACTATAACCACTATGACTAGTAGGAAAGTTAGCACGCACTAAAATGGCGCTGCTAACGCAGCCACTCAGTTCTTTCGCTGCCTCTTTCAAAGACCGATTCCTACGAGGAAAGCCGCGTTTCCTGCATACGCACGAAGTGCTGATGGATACGCCGGAACCTCGCGTTCTCGTGTCTAACGCTGCTTCTTGCGTGAAAGAGGTGAGAGTTAGTGTGGGGAACGGAGCGATTCGTCGTCGCTCACGGAAACCAGAGGCTTTGTTTCGTCAAATATTTAAAGGGGTAGGGAAACAGAATTCCAGCGTTCATTTTCTAGCTTGAATGTGTAGCATGTTGCACGGTAACCTCAAAAACACCAGTCTTCCGTTGAAAAGCACAAGAAAAGTTATTTTAAAGCTAATTAAACGATATTTCGATGTGCACCTCGTGAATGCATGCGGAGCCTATTTGGGGGGTAGTCAAGCAACGTTGTGAAAGCTGTTACGTAGTCGTGACGTAGCAGATTCCTTCGGAGCAGCGCCGCTCTTTGACATTTCAACATTTTCCTTTTCAGCTTTCCTCCTAGCTTAACTCACAAATCGCGCATTGTGCCAAACGGCCCAAGAAAACGGAAAGGAAGGACTCCCCTCTTTCTCGGACCCTCGTTCGTGCAACCGCAAACAACCATTCTCCCCTTAGAAGATTAGCCTGTCCCTCAAAATCGGACATAAGTTGCTTTTCCCCACCCCGTTCAGCCCTAAGCTGACAGTGTTGTGGAAGCTACGTGCTCCTTTGGCCAGCCACACGCTCGTCACCCCACGGGTGCTTCGAACGGCTCGGTTATAACTAGGGCTCCGTGTTTTCGGATATATCCGGAAAACTCCGAAAAACACCCGCCGGTAAAATTTTGGTCAATTCGGATTTATTCAATAAACTCCGGGTATTTGTGTGGCAATGCCACCCCCCCCCCCCCCCCCCCCCCGGGCAAAAAAAAAAAAAAAGTAAAAATCTCTTCTTTTTTTTTTTTTTACAGTTTGATTAGCCCAGAGCCAATGTTCCTGAAAAAATTCCACCATAATTATCTTTCAAATCTCGCACCCTTCTCAAAAGGGGTCTTGCCGCTTGTCTCTTCAAGGTTGATTCAGGGCAGCAGGTCGTTCGTTGTACATTCGGGTCACGATAAAAGCCACTCTTTTGGTTTCCAGTTTAGGCCATGCGATTTGTGATTTAGAGAAAGGAAAGTGTATGTTTTTGTAACAGTGAAAGCTATGGACCATAGGGATTGTATAAAATTAGGAAGAGGGGCAGTTCAAACTCTCTATTACCTCCTTAACCACACCACCTCGCGCGGCCGCGGGCTAGATTGATGGAATACGATGGGACGACCACGAGCTTCCTAGCGACTACCTCCGGGAGCTTATTGATTTGGTGTGTGACTTCTCTTGTGGATAAATTAGTATTGCCAATGACAATGGCACCAACGCCAAATTCAACTGAAGATATTTCAATTGATACAAGCGCGTTTTTTTTTATCTGACATACGTTTACATTTGGTTATTATTTATTGTTAATAGGAAACAGAGCGAAATTAAACTCCGAATTTCCGAGAATCGGGAATAAAAAAAATATAAACTCCGATAAACTCCGAATCTTCGGCAAAAAATAAACTCCGAAAAACACTCTCCGAATTTGACGAAAAATAAACTCCGAAAACACGGAGCCCTAGTTATAACGCGCTGAAGCTATTGACACCACCACAACGCTGACAACGCCAGCAAGGGCAAAGCTCATAACAATGCCTGCCTTGCTACTCCACGAACGCGGGAAATCTTTTCTTTCTGTTTTTGTTTGCGTCGGATATTCCATGTCGCATCGCGCTCTCAGTTCGCTTCTCTTCGAGCGCTTGCTCGAGTGCACCATTTGGAAGGAAAAATATAGCCAGTCGTTGAAAATACAAACCTGCGATTATCAATTACGTTTATTATCCGTCATGCTTGACTCATTTCCGAACGGAATTTGAATATTTCAATTTTTGTTTCCGTACCCCTTTAAGCCCCCGGGCAACAACATATTTTATTTAGAAACTATGTGGTCTTGGTGAAAATGCAGCCGGCATGAGGTCCCGAAGGTCTTCTGAACCGTTATGCCAATCAGAATTTCTGTACAGAGAAAGACGTGACTTGATGCAGTCTCTTCCACTGTCGTCCAATCTCCGCACTGTATACGCTGTCGGTCGCGTGGGTGGGTGCCTGCGGCGGTTTTGCGCGCACGGAAGACTAAAGACTAGGCTTTCATGCCGGCGAAAAAACGTTTAAAGCGCTGGGCCTCCACTCCTAGCTCCCGCCTCACGTCAACTGGCCTCCGTTTTACGAGGACATCGCAAGAAGCAGCCTATAGATCCTTTCAGGCAACATTTCATGGGCGCCGCCATCTTGACGTCACGTGACCCTGCCGCCATAGCCGCCCTTCAGTTTCTCGCCGCTCCTCCGCGTTGTGTGTGCACCAGCCACTACCGGAGCTTTGTTTTCGCGTTCTTTTACGGCCCGCGTTGAAATCGTGTGTTTTCTTTAGGTCTTTTCGATATTTCGGGCTTTCATTTAATCATTTGATATCTATATTTCAACATAGCTCTTGTATTTTCTTATTTGTGAAATGGAATCGGACAGCGAATGGATCGACAATGCAAGATTATGGCTTCAGAGACCATGTAAGTTCATCTCATTCTAACGTTTTTCTCGCTAATAAAGGGCAGTCAACACCATTGCGACATATGCAAACTTCAACTGACGCAGTAAGGCTATCCAGTCGTGCTTCTCGCTGCATGTGCGCGCTCGTTTCCGTAAAGCCGACCCGCATGTAAGCGATTTTGCGTGCGACGGGACGAGCGACGGCGACAACGACGAGAGTCAGCGACGAAGATTTTTCACTGTGGCCTGTTGCATCGCTCGGATTTTTGGATTTTTAGAAAACGTCGTTCACCGTCTTGGTCGCTTCCTCCCGTCGCTTCCATGCGGTTTGCCTCGTCGCGCGACTGCCCGAGCGACAGCGAAGCGGGTCACCGTCGCTTGTCTCGTTGCTCGCCAAATCGCTTGCATGCGGTTTAGACTTAATATCGAGGCGCCAATGGTTCAATGCTGTGTGCATGGAAATTAATTGAGTATCAACCGCATGTAAGCGATTTGGCGAGCGACCAGATAAGCGACAGCGACCCGTTTCGCCGCCGCTCAGTCAGTCGCGCGACGAGGCAAACCGCATGGAAGCGACGGAGCAAGCGACCAAGACGGTGAGCGACGTTTTCTAGAAATCCCGAAAGCGAGCGATGTGACGGGCGACGGTGAGAAATCTCCGTCGCTCGTCTCGTCGCTCGCTAAATCGCTTACATGCGGGTCAGCTTTACGGAAACGAGCACGCACATGCAGCGAGAAGCACGACTGTGATAGCCTTACTGCGTCAGTTTCAATTCACATATGTCGTAATAGTGTTGACTGCCCTTTATTAGCGACAAAAACGTAAGAATGGGATGAACTTACATGGTCATTGAAGCCTCATAATCTTGTATCGTCGACCCATTCGCTGTCCGATCCCAATCCATAAATAGAAAATACAAGCGCTACGTCGAAATATAAATATCTAATGATTAAATGAAAGTCCTAAATATCGAAAAAACCTAAAGAAAATACAAGATTTCAACGCGGACGTAAACGAACACGTAAACGAAGCTCCGGTAGTGGCCTGTGTAGCACACAACGCGAAGCAACGGCGAGAAACTGAAGGTCCGCTATGGCGGCCCGGAAAGCGCGCGAAGGGCGCGCCCACTGGTGGCAGCTCGAGTGACTGACTCGCTGAAAGCGTCTATAGAGATGTGGGATCGCGGAAGGAAGTACACGTTCAAAGGAGTTTATTTTACATAAGACCTCGCATATAAAAAAATACAAGAAGCCATACCTGCCCGCCCTGTTCCAACCGTTTGCGCGTCCAAAGGTGTCGATTTTTGCTAACACTGCACTCTTTCTGCGCCCGCAACAACCGCGCTAAGAGTCTGGGCGAGCAGAGCACGAGGTGGCACTAGCTGTCTCGTGAACTGGCGTCTGCCTCGTATGAACTAAAGTCACGGCGGATCATGGAACTAGAAGCGGATCCGCAGCCGGAAAGCGGATCCGCGCGTACTCAACCGCAAAGCGGCTGGGATCGAGTGGTGGGTTTTGTGTGTTTATGTCTCTTTTTCCGCTACCCGAAACTCGTAATACGTGCGGAAAACGACAACCCGCAGAAAATCTTTAGAGTGCCAAAATAGCTCTAGTTTGGCTTGGGATCTCGGATTAAAGTTGACTTTGCCCATGTTGAAATAACCTGAGACTGGAGTAAAGAAGGAGCGTGAGAACATAGAAGAGACAGAAAAACAGACAGGACGACGTCTCCAGCTCAGCTCAATGACGTCGTCCTATTTTCTGTCTCTTCTACGTTTTGATGTTTCTTCTTTACCCCAGGTCAATTCAACATGGTTGATAATCACCAACTCGCCTGGAGAGGAGGAAGGGGAACGAGGTATCCTAATCGGGGCGAAGAAACGATCTGCTAAAACTCTCTAATACCACGTGAAGCCGGAAGCTGAGGACGCGGTCGCTGGAACGCCCCCAAGGGAGACCAAAGCCACACCAGGCCGATTTTGGTCCCAAATCAGACCTCCTTTCCGTCCAAAAGAGTCTTTAGGTTTCGGTCAACGTTGGGGGCGTGTCCTTCTAAACCGGAAGTTTCTCCCGGATTCACCTTTGGTGGCGTCATGTCACCTCCAAAAAACCCCAATGATTGAAACTTTAGCGCACTACGAAGCTTCCTACCTGCTCCAAGTATTTCTAATATTTACTGATTTAGCGGTTTTCGTCGTTCGATGACATTCAGAGGATCACCGACTCGAATCATATAGTTATCTTCAATCATTAAAAAGTTTATCAACATACGTTTGTTAAATAACTGATTTATCGTGATAATTATCGACCTATATAATATGTCTCATCGACCGTATAACTCAGATATAAAGACCTTATTAGTGTAGCTTTCATGTCTTTTTCTAAAACATATATGAAAGTCCTTAAAAAACGGCCCGTATTTCTTAATCACATACCTGCCATGCATCTTGCACGGGCCCAAGTTCTGCGTTGTTGAATGTAGGGTTGTTTTCTGGGTTTTTTATGGTCATATTTCTCGTCCAGGGAAAGCTGGGTGACCACCAGCCCTCCGTCGTAGGCAACACCATGGTCGCGACGACGCACGCCAACATCACAGCGTACTGCGGGCCCATTGCAGAGGAGGCTATCCACATTCGCTGCTGCTTCTAGATCGACTGAACACTGCTTCATTTATATAAGAGGTTTGTATTGTTGTTTTTTTTGTTTTTTTTGTTTTTAAATACAGCTGTACCGGATCGTAGCTGACGTGTTTGACAAGACTCTGTTAAGAGCAAAGTATTCTTTAGAGAGCGCCGTTAGTTGAGTCAGGAGCGACTCCACAAAATCAGTGGAACAGGTGTTCGTCATACACAACAGAATACAAATAAAAAAAAACAGAAATAGCTTTGTAAAGCAATTATTAACTTCATTTTTACCGACGCCCTCGTCGCTTTGGTGTCTGTGGTTGCGACAGACACTAACATATGTAACAGCATTGAAGCGGCGTAAATGACAAAGTCACATTTCGCTGTACGCGTCTTGGAAATAAGCCCAAAATTTAACTGACGCGATTAGTAAAAAAAAAAAAAAAAAAAAACTGACTGTGCGGCGGATGGGCGTATTCCAGATAAAGACAATCACCCACTTTTTATTGCACCCCGGCTTGCACTGGTGTGGGGAGTTTATGATAAGAAACAAGAAAACGAGATACGACGTGGCCAACTGTAGACACTGACGTCCTAGGCAACAGAATGCGTGGCCGGACCCAATAGTCTTATTATCGCTCAAAAACCGATTAGATTTCGGGATTTTCTGATAACAACGCCCAAGAAGGAATCACAAAGTGAGAGTAGTTAGTTTAGTAAGTCACACGCCTGGCGTTTTTTGAGGCGTCAGTGACTATATATAGGATGTCCCATGTCATCAGGCTCGAGCTAAAATAGACAGTAAAAATCGACGCCTGCATGTAGCAATCTAAACTTTTCGTCAAAGATGTATTACACAGGTCAGATTTTTTTTTGGTAAAATTCGAACGCGTAGCTCTTTATCTGTAAAATATACGGCCAAGAAACTTGCCAGGGTCAATGGCGGGTTGTGACGCAGACGACGAAGTCAACTTGAGGGACGCGTTTGGCGCTCGCATTAATAGATGGCGCTAGCTCTTTATCAAGACTGCTCGCAACCCCAGTGGATTATTAAAATAAACATAGTTTTTTTTAAGTACCTTTGGTTTAAGAGTTAATGCGGACAATAAAAACAAAACAAAGTTTAAAAAAAAACGCGTTGCATAACGACGGCGTTTTTGCTGCCAACGGACTTCGCCTACGTGTCGTCTGCTCTTTTCGCTCGTCGGCTACACCCAACGGTATTAGATTAGCTTAGCTACGGAACTGCTCACATACGCTGCATGCACGAGCAGTATCCCTTTCACTCACCACGACTCGCCTCCCGTCGTTCGACGCGCCGGACGGCTACTTTGGTAACTGCATTGTGTTCTATAGGATACGTACGTTTCGAAGCGCAGCGTCTAGATGACGTTCCACCGTACTTTATAGAGCACACAGTTCGTAAACGAAAATCTAGATGGCGCTTCGAACGACGGGAAGCGGAGTAAAGTGAGTGAGGGTGGGGGGAGCCCCTTCCGCGCGAGTTCCAACACTGAGGTAATCTAGTAACTTTGGCTACACCTTCGGACGCTGCTCCCGACTCGATCTATCAATACGCGTGCCTAACGCACCCCGCAACTCGATTTGCTCGTCTCTGTCGGCGTCCTCTGTTGACCAGGGCAAGTTTCTTGACCCTATTTTTTTGCAGAAAGGGGGCTACGCTTTGTAATTTTACAAGAAAAATCCGACCTGTGAAATATATATTTCAGGAAAAGTTTAGATTGCTTTTGCAGGCACCGATTTTTACTGTCCCTTTTAGATCGAGCCTGGTGGCTTGGGACATTCTATACATAGCTTATAAAATAGTCATTATGTCAATAATAGAATAATAAAACGTAATTTGGAACTTTTGTATAAATGACACCCTACGATTTTAGAGAAGGCTACAAGAAATCTGTAAAGCCGGGGTCACACTGCTCATACATCATATAAAGACAGTCTGCAAACACGGGTCACTGCAATGTCCGTGGTTCGAATGCCGCGAGCCCAAGTTTCCTCTCTGAACTCAGTGCCACTCGACATTCGAATCACGAATCTCGCGGTGACTCTCGTTCGAGTCTCCCTGCAAACTGTTTTTTTTTTTTTTTTTTGTACAAGCAGCGTGGCTTCGGATTTACGTTTATATTCTGAACGTAAGAGGTTACATTCGTTACGTATCTAGCCCAGAGAGCTGGTATTTTATTACTGACCAAAAAGAAATCGATCGTCCAGACTTAAATTTGTGTGACCAAATATACGTGTTCGTTAAATAATGAATCTCGATAATTACGTCTAATTTTCACAAGGGTATTCGACGAGACTACGGCAAAGATTTCTTTCATATTTTTGGTACATATCGTAATATTGCTTTTAAATTTTCTTCATTCCACGAACGGTGGAGGCGTGGAACGGACTTTCTTGTGTTATAATACAGTTAAGTCGAAGTCAAACAGATATTTGTTGCGCTTCTCGTTTATGTTAATTATATATTTGACTTTATTAGTTCCGTTTAGTTGTTTGGGCCCTTCATCGTTCCTTCTGATTACTTTTATTATATTGTTGTAAAACACCTTTCAGAGCCTGCTTGCATGACTATAAGAATTGTGAAAACAACAACAACAAAAAAAGAAGTTTACAACTTCCTGTATCGCCGAGTTAGAGCGCAGCTCTTGAGGAGGAGGAGGGGAGGGTGCTGATACAAAACTTGAAAGTACAAAACAGCAAGGAAGAGGACGGGAACAGGACATCTTTCATTTTGCAACAACATAAAATGGCACAACGATAAACCCCCTCCCCCCCCCCCAAAGGTTTTAACGTTCTCAAAAAGAAAAGGAGATATTTTTTTAAAGGAAAGGGAATTTACTATAGATATAAAAATTTAAAAAGCGCTGGTGTCACGACGAGGTATTACAAATCTAGTTATCTCTGATTACTCAGAATTCAACCTTTGTCATTGTATTGATAATGAAGGTGCAAAAATATTGTTGTTTACAATCCCAAAAGGAAATAAAAATGTGGTATAAATAAAAAAATTTTAAATGCTCTAGCGTCACGACGAGTTGTCAGTAATCTAGTGATCTCTAGTGTTAGGAATTTGAACTCTGTCTTTGTCAATGATAATGAAGGTGCAGAAACGTCGTTGTTTACAGTCCCCATGGCAAACGATTCAATGATTTCTCTCCCAAATCTGTTGTTGTGCCCGCCCAGTATTCTAGTAGCAGAGAAATAAAGAGTACAGTCATCGCACGTGCGGCTGTGAACGACAATTGTGTGATACGACTCATTTGAAGCCTTTGATGCGTCCGAGTTGTGTTCTCTGAGTCGCTGGTTGGCGCATCACCCGGTCTGTCCAATGTTCTGACTGCCACAGCTTAGTGGAATTGAATAAACCTTTCTTTCTTCGCATTCTACGAACGTTTTGGCATGCATTACATTGCACCCTCTGGGACTGTCGCTCCCATTAACATTTTACACATCTGTTTTGGGCGCATACGACAGGAAAAAACATCACTCGTGTCGACCTTGGAGGCGATAGATTTTAAACGGTGCGCGGAATCGTGCGTGTAGGGAATCACAGCGAAACGACCTTTCTTTTTGAAAACAGATTGCCGAAGTTGTGGTATGAGAATAAACCTCTCAAGGGTGGAACGAAGTAGGTCAGCAGGAAAGCCTGCTTTTTCCAACCTCTGCTGCTGCAACTTGAGGCTACGTTCAGAGAAATGCGTGAACGACTTAGGGAATGAGGAGTTGAAAACTGACCTTACTATGCCATGCTTAACTGACTTGGAGTGAGCACTGGTGGAAGAGGGGACTGGCTTGTCCAACCTCTGCTGGAAGGCACAACGAAGACGTGCCCGGGTAAAAGTTAGTCCCGCCGCACAGTCTGAAAACTTTAAAGATGCTGTCAGCGGACACAGCGTCTGGATAAATCACCAAGTAGTCATCAACGTACCTAAACACTAGGCAACCCTGGAAGGACTTGACCAACTGACCGTTGATAACCCTGCCAGCAAAAATAACTATTTCACTAAGGACACGTGCAAGGCGAGAGCCTATACAAACTCAATTCTATTGCCTGTAAATATTTCCTTCGTATTCTACTAAATTGGACTGGAAGTAAATATTTATCACGTCCATAAAGCCCTCAATTCAAACACAGGAGGTATTTCGAAAGTCGCAAATTTCGTGTTCATGGATCGCAATAGTCACATAATCTAAGATGAGTTTTGGTTCTAGGTTGTAATACATATCTTCAATGTCGAAAGACATAATCGAGTGCGGAATGGAACTAAAATGAAGTGAATTTGAACAGGGGGATTAATTCAAAGGAGTTTTGGACTCTGAAAGGCTGAGGGAGGATATTAGACAGATGTTTTTGTAGATAACGACCCAGGGGTCTTTGCCAACAGCTAATTTCTGAAATTATGCTCCTGAAGGGAACTCCATACTTGTGAGTCTTTGCAGTAAAGAACACAGACAAATACCGTTTGGCAGGACTACCGATGACGCTCTTAAGAGAGTCAGGTACAAGGAGGAACACAGTTTTGTTGCCCTCGAGCGCCGTCTATCCGAAGGTCTATTAACCAACACGCTCGTTTTCAATTGTAACTGAGGGTACTGAGGGGACGGTATGCCCCTCTTCCCCCTTCCCTCCTTCTCCCTCCTCATTTCCTCCTCCCTTGTCCTCCTTCCCTCCTCCCTACTCCTTCCTCATCCCTTGCTCCTCTTCTTCCTCCATACTCCCCCTCCTCCCTCCTCAACCTCCTCCACTCCCTCCTCCTCGCTCCTCCTTTCTCCCCCCTCCTCTTATCCTCCTTCTCTTCATCCCTCCTCTTCCTCCCGCTCCTCCCGAGTGGACGTTTCCCATAATGCAAGACGCGGGTCACGAGTGAGACCCGCGCGGTGCATCGTGGGTCATTTCCCATAATAATAGAATAGAATAGAACAGAAAAATGTAACAGGCGGGGCCCTCGTGACGTCACTCGTGGCCCTCGTGACGTCAATCATGA